CAGGCTCTCGACCAACAGCCGCGTTGCTGCCTTTGCCTCAAACAAGTTGCAATCCGGAGCAAACAGTACAAGTTCACAAATCAAATCGAGTATCGCATTCCCGTACAAGCCGAAATGATTTTACCACGCCTGGTAACTAACTGGTGTTGCAGACTTCTATAGCGAGCGCTGATGGTATCACTGTTAGAAAAATTACCGTTAACGGTATTACCGGCGTTTCAGTGGCCGGTCGGCACGTGAAAAGAAACACCGAGTTGCCGTTTTTATTCTAATTTAACACTAAAAATCCGGAAAACATCTGATAAAAACGGCGTAACAGTTTATTTTCACGCGTCGACCGGCCACTAGAACGCCGGTGGGACCGTTTTTTCACCGTTTTTTCTAACAGTGATATATGACTGAACACCGTTGCCTAGATTTTACCACGCCTGGGCCTATACTTTCAAGAAAAAGTTAAGAGATCGTAAGTTCATCAGCCAATCATTGACGGCCTTTCAAGCAAAATCCACCAATCATAGACAAGAAAATAGAGCATAAGTATTTACATTCACTTAGCGAGTTTTGAAAGTATGGCCCCTGGTAACTAACTGGTGTTGCAGGCTTCTATAGCGAACGCTGATGGTATGACTGAACACCGTTGCCTAGATTTTACCACGCCCGGTAACTAACTGGTGTTGCAGGCTTCTATAGCGAACGCTGATGGTATAACTGAACACCGTTGCCTAGATTTTACCACGCCTGGTATAACTGGTGTTGCAGGCTTCTATAGCGAACGCTAATGGTATGACTGAACACCGTTGCCTATACATGGAGGCGTAACAAGGAGGTGACTGTTCGCTCTACTTATCAAGAACATGCTTGTGCACGTAAGTTACTCCTGTGCTTGAAATAGCTACGAGCTCGCATGCGCTGGCCAGATATTAAAGAATATTTTCGATATCTCGTAAATTCGGAAAATTACCTATAACACGGAATGGCGGCCACTGATGCTATCCTGGGAATTAAAAAAATTATTATTGTCAAATGAAAGACTATAAGTAATAAATTAATAAAATTCAAGTAATAAAATTTAATTTTCTACGAACCTTTTTCAAACACAGGATCGCAATTCTTGATAAACAATATCTTTAAAATAACTCTAAAGGTTCACAATTAAGGGATGAAATATATTGTATTGTATATTTATTGTGAAAATCGCACGGTGATAAATTAAAATAATCATATATGAAACTGATCGATGGCAATGTAGGCATCGAACGATTGTAAAATGTAGGCATCCCAGAAATATAAATAGAATTTTTTTCAAATTAATACGCTCATAATTAAAGGGCCAATAATTATGAATTAAATTTATGGTGCATGGATAAATGCTTATTGGAGTGATGCACGCTAAATATCCATAGGAAAATAGAATTGTTTCACCAAAATAAACGACTTTGTTGAAAATATTCAACATACTTTTGCCCATATCCTAGCACCCAAACTTATTTCTTTCATCAATACGTCATAATCAAGAACAGCATAAATTATAACCCTGCTTCAAACCCCGCACGGAAAGACGAGATCTCTAGCAAACCGTTCGAGCTTTGCAAAGAGCAGAAGAGATGCAACCAACAAACCGACGGAGTGCTGCGGCACAGCACGCACTATATGAGTGACATGCAGCAGCAATGCAACTCGTGCGAGGTACGCAGTGCAGTTAAGAGGGAACGAGGAGCAAGCCTCACGTGCCGAGTATTAGTCCAGGACAGAGCCCAAGAAACTCGAGACTATATGCACAAGAATGATTCACGGCATAAAATAATGACCAAAATCACGTGCATCCATAGAGTGGCACTGAAGACCGTAAATTAATCAGCAGCATTCTTGCAATCACGGCAAGCACCCCGCCACCACTATAGATATCGGAAGCATCGTCGAGCAAGGTTGTTAGTGCCCTCACAGCAGTAAACCCGGTGATAAGCTTCGGCATCCACGAGCCGAAACACTAGGGAAAAAATGTCTGAGCGATCGACCGCTCCGCCCACGCAGCAGATTTAGTCGACGATCGTTTACAGAAGCCTTGGGATCTAGCAAGATCGCAGGGATGCGCATTACAGCGTTACTCGTAAAGAATTTAGTGTGTGTAGTTTGTTTTTTACTTTGAGCAACGATGGCTTCGATTGAGGGTAGAATTATAATAACCATAGTGAGCCTACAGCAGCAAATCTTGATTGACAAATAAGCGATTTTAAATTTAGTAAAACCTAATAGCTAATTTTTTAGGATAACTAACAATAATATATTGTTTTTCTTCGACAGCTTATGATTCTCGACACAAAAACCTTCCCCGTTAGAGAAGGAGGAACGCACATCACAATAAGAATTGAGAGAATGAGCCCAATGCTAGCGAGACTGCGTAGCGGCTCTACGCAGGCGATCTCCCTAAAAATAGTGTCATGTTTGCGTTAGAGACACCCACCACAAAAGGAAAATCATCTGAGCTTTCCTGCATTACCATCACAAAGGACTTGCTTCAGTGGCGTCACGACAGAGAAGAGCAAAAGCCAGGCGCTTCAATGATTTCTTCGATTGCCTTATAGTGGCACTTTCTCCCGAGCATCAACAATAAAAAACTGCATGGCGGCGCAGACATTCAACGCCATAATGTTTGGTTAAGAATTCAGTACTAAAATATATACATCAATTTCTTTTAGTCCGAAGCATTTAGAACAATTTTTAACGAAGCTATAACATAACTAACGTGCGCATCACAATCGAGAACCAAACGAAAATTTTATAAATTATTCCTTTAATTATTTATCTTTTATAAATTAACTTTAATCATCCTGAGTTGTGGCAGGCTTAGCGTGGGTGTGAGACGTTGCCCTAGCACACCGAATAAAACTTATTTCTAAATTTTCTCTCAAAAATTACGGGTAAATAATTAATTATACGAGGAATTATTGTTCTGAACCAAACTGCCTCAAAGCGCTTAGTTGATGACTAGAAAACCTTTGAAATAGATAAAGAATGTAATTTGTGAATTTATTTATTCGGAGACAATAGAGTTAGAGTTATTCACAGCACGGCAAATAGATTGGTGTCTCAGAGCTGTGGTGGAGGCGGCCGCCAGTGATAGACTTGAGTCATATACCTGGCCCCAGGCTTGCCAGGTAAGGATACATAGAAACTAAATCATCTTAGAGAAAAGTAAAAAAGGCCAAATTTGGAAAGGATGAAAGTGAATAATTTATTCTAGTTAGAACCATTTAAAGTGACCATCGTTAACATTAAAATCTAAAAAGATTTGGTCTGTTTTCGAGATTGTACTCTACGACGATGAATGGCATTTAACACCTCCTTTTTAGATTTATTAGCGTCATATTTAATGGCAGAACTTCAACATTGAAAAAGGAAAATTTCGAGCGCAGATGTGAAATGAATAGGTACAATAGAAGGTAGATATTTTTAAGAAGAATGCTAAAAAACAGATGAATTGTTCAGTAAAATCATTTCCACAAATGTGTGAGTTCACGAATCGCACCCTAAAAATTCCATTTAGAAACGTTGTGTGGCTCGAGCTGCAGTGTGGTCTCTAGTTATAATGCTACACCATCCCATGCCAATATGATAGTTCATTCATTATCAATAACTTAAGAACATATTATAAATCAACACATCCGAATAACAGTTATCCCCGACCAAGAATAAGTCTCTGTTAAATAATATCTCATCATTCATCATTCCTCATTAACTTTCTATTCAAGATTGTTCGAAGAACGAGACGTTCACGTCCGACCCGAAAGGATATAAGAGTTATATATGACTAATTCTATTTCGAAGGTTGCATCGCCGAGTTTAACTTGAACCACACTCAAAACTAAATGTGAGCTCAAATAGAGGAGACTTTTTATACAAGTGACACTTCGACTTCATTCACATTCAGAGTTGTACCGGAGGACACTTGCACGGAACACAAATGTCAGGTAAGGGCACATAAGCAAGACCCTCAGGCGTCGAGAACATAAAACGTAGCTCGGGACAGCATTAGCACACACTAGCTAACAAGACCTTATCAATTTGCAATGAAAGGCTAAAAATACGCAACTTCTCGTTTTATTAAGAATCTTACTAGCCTGTTAGTCAGATGACTTAGGAGCCACAGACATTTGGTCATGGGTTGGTAAGAAAACTCGACTGTAAAAGGAACGTGGATGAGGCAGGGGAATGACCTTTGTTCATTAAGTATGTTCAATAAAAAACATGATTAGTACTACAATTAATTAACGCTGTCCAATTACGAATGCCAGAAGCAAATGAATCATAATACACCTTATTGAGACAGGGTGAGACACCACTCAGCTCCTTAGAGTTCAACTAATGTATATAAATGATGAATTTTGAAGAAGCTACACACCGCCGCATGTATAGTCCATCGAGCGTGGCAATAATATATAATTATTAAGAAAATTCAGCACGACATTGGCCGCAATCATAGGATACGACGAAGATATCCTTGAGCACAGACCCTATAGGAGATGAGCAGGAAGAACAGCATCCTCTTACACAGGATTGGCTAGCTTCCTCCCCAGCAGCCGAGGTAACATGATGCCTGCCGAGGGTAGCAGGCACCCGCAAGAGGATATGATATTGTGCTCGCTACAATGCCAGCGAGCAGGTCATTGTGTCGGCTCATCGTAAAGAATAAGCAACTCGTTGAAAAGGATAGAGGAAGCCCTAGAACTTACAGTGAAATAAAAAATACGTTGTGAAAATAATACTGGTGCAGCTAAATTGTAACGTCTAAACGCAAAGCAATGATGGTCGAATCAAATCAACCATACATAAAACTTTTCATGTTAAAAAAAAAAAAGAAGAACGGGGGCATTCCAGTTTCGTAAGGGAGGTTTGACTGAATTATTATGCAATTTTTGATCAATCAAGCCCGAAATATAAACGCTCAAATTCTTAAAAGCAATTCAGAGAAATATTAGACAACTCATATCGCCGAGACTTACCCTAACCTCAGAGAAGCGCGAAGATCGGTCGGTGAAATTCACTTTCAATGTTAAGGATGTTGCACTGATGCACAGTACCTATGGACAAAACGCTAACTTCACCATTACAAACGCTTGTACACACATTGAATTCGGCAATAATATACGCCTTTGGTTAGGCCAAGTTCAAATATTTATTAATATTTTTATGACCAATAAAATCGATGGGAACAAAAATGTACTAGAACCGTAAATCATGAAAATATCTGATGTGAGTGAAAAACACAGCACAGATATTAGCACTCTGCTGCACAACTTGAAAGCACAAGCAAAATATATTGAGAGAAAAACAGTACAAGTGATCGTGGTAATATCTTTTGCTTATCTTGAATTTACAATAGGAATTCGAATTTCCGTTCCAGTTGAGCTATAAGAAGTAATTAAACTAATTCTTTCTGAGAATCAGTAAAAAAAATGTATCTGAAATTTGTGCAGCAAATATGGTAGAGCAAACAACATAGCATGTGTGAAGATACAAGTTTAAACAGATAAGAACTAAGAAACACGACAACCATGAGTGCAACTACCGCGCTCACTGTCTTGCTGCGTCACGCTCCACGGCACAGCCCACACTGACGCGACATCAGCAGTAGCCCCTTTACCACCCTCTAAACACTCAATAAAACCATCGAACAAAACCATATTCATGAGTAATCTTCGAGAAAATATAGAATGAAATTTTGCCAGTTATTGATGAATATTCTCAAAAATCTTTTGGGCTTACTGCACTGGCACAACCATCATTGAAGGCAGTGCATATAATTGTTTAAATGGATCTTGATAGTTGACTCGATCATGAATTGTCGAACGTTCTCTTTGACCACCTCTGAATGCCAAGACACGACGGGAATTTAGTCTGTATTCAGTATTTTCAAAAGTATTCAAAAGTATGCGCACGGGTATTCAAAATTTTCAACTTGGCGTCCATTAATTAAACATACCTCACCTCACCAAACACCTTCACTATTGCAGTCACTATACGTCACCTCACCAAACACCTTCACTATTGCAGTCACTATACGTCACCTCACCATATATCTTCACTATTCTAGTCACCATACCTTATTCTCAACAAACACCTTCACTATTCTCGTCAATCGACTAGAACAAGAAGACAAATATCAAAATGCAGTGTCTGTAATCTAGAAAGCAACTGGAATAAAACTTGATCACTATTATAGTCACTCGACTAAAACAAGAAAACAAGCACACATATGTACAGTCGGTAACCTGGAAAGCAACTGGAACTAAACTTGATAATATAAAGGTAAATTTGGTCCATGCTAAGACCCGAACCCTCAAGGAGGGACCAGCAGCGGAGTTTCAGCTCGGTGCGATGAACTCGCGTTAATTGCGCTCAGAGCTACATGTGCAAACGCTTCTTTTCTCGCGGGTTTTACAGCAACGAATAATTAACGAAATGCAATCACCAGTTCTCATGAATGTAGTTCACGCAAATATACGCAAAATTAAACATAATTCGCAAGATTATAAACAGAGGACGTGGAAATGAAGAGATGCTTGAATAGATACATCGTTGACTCGACAGTTAACAGTAAACGTTGACCTGACAGCTGGATTTCGCAGGTGCAGTTTGAAGTGTTGATGATGTGGTCGCTGCCGCACAATCAACAGACCAAATGGCTCTTTTTCAGCGTATAAAAAGACGGCAGCTTTAGCTGGATTTATCCCACATGCTCATGTAACGACAGCTTTAAGACGGCTAATTTTAGCCACATGGTCTCTGGTGTGAGCAGAAACATGGAGGCGATGACGCAGACAGCTTGTCTTTCGAACACACAATAAAAAGATTATTATTTTGGTACTGCATAGAGGGCATATTCAAGTAAAGAGTTTCAAAAGCGATACAAATTTCAGCAAATAAATATAGGTTATAGCTCGACTATTCATTTAGGGAAATTAGCATTTTTCAGTCAACAGCGATCATGCATGGAGAGGAGGAGGTATAAAGAAAGGCATCGCTTCAATAGCCAGAACATTTTAGACCACAACATGGTAGGTATGTCCCATTTTCATTTATTTCATGGCTCACTAAATGCGCAGATAACATGAGTCATAGTGGCCAGTAAGAAGTGATGACATCTTCGCCTGATAAGATAAGGAAGAATGCGTTCCTTGCTCAAGTGAAGGTCGGCACGAATGAAGAGACATCAAAGCTGAAACATCAGTTGATGCCAGCGATCATGGGACCACAAATCACTTGCCGATAAAAGCCATTGACGGTAATTTGTACAGCATGGCAGCTTGTATAGACGTCGCTACTTCGCACGTCCCTGAATACGATTGAGTCGCCATCACGGAGCGACATAGTGCACGACGCTGCACTACATACACTCAACGACGCGCCATCACGCAGCAACATAGTGCACGACGCTGCACTACATACACTCAACGACGCGACATCACGGAGCAACATAGTGCACGATGCTGCACTACATACACTCAACGGCGCGTCATAACGGAGCAACATAGTGCACGACGCTGCACTACATACACTCAACGGCGCGTCATCACGGAGCAACATAGTGCACGACGCTGCACTACATACACTCAACGACGCGCCATCACGGAGCAACATAGTGCACGATGCTGTACTACATACACTCAAAGAAACAAACAAGACTTTGTCGAAATAGCGATGCACTTTTGGCCCCTGTTTGCATGTGTCAATCATGACCTAGTTTGGCTCGGCGTAAGAGCGTATCAGTGCTACGTCTGTTCTTTATTCGTGCTGGCGGGTAAGAAAATGTCACTATTTGTACAACACGACCCATTAATTTTTCTCAATGTACCCAAGGATGCATATACATGAACTCTTTTACGCATAAACTGAAAAACTGTTAACTGTATGAAAATGAAGCTAAAATAACTATTCCCCAGAACTATTTCAGGCTCCCCTGTAGTTAACTTTATCAGCGGTACATATACTATAAGATCATGTGAATGGCATCAAGGTAAACCAGGAGCAGACGTAGCTCATGAACAAAGAGCGCATATATTAGGTGGCAGTCAGACAAAGACCATCGATCGCTCCCACTGAAACACGAGTTAAATATATTAATCCCGTCACAAGCTGAATACGTTAATTGTATCACGAGTTAAATATATTAATCCCGTCACAAGCTGAATATACATTAATTGTATCACGAGTTAAATAAATTAATACAAGTAGTAGTTAAAAATACATTAATCACGTCACAATTTGAGCACATTAACACCGGCACAAAGCACAACACTACCAGAAATCAGACAAATACATCACAAAAAAGCGTGCATTGAGGAGGCGTTGGCGGGCCTGAAGGGTGGACGCTCGTCTTGCTCCAATTATGGCCACTTGGTCGCTCAGGAGGCACACGCGCGCGGTAAAGAAAATATCTTCTAAAATGAATTTAAAAGAAGATCACCGTTGATTTCGATCAAGATAAAACGAAAATGAAGAAATTTGTGAGCGAGCTACTGACAAAATCAACATGAGAACCGCATTGGGGCGATCGTTGCAAAGTGCAGTACAGAAGTATGGACTTAACAAGGATTATATGGTTTGGAACTTCGTCATTATTGCGCTGGCCAGACTCCAGAGGAGGTTTTTACAGCGGGTATAGAACAGAAATTCTTTCACAATATTTTATTACTATTCTCAACTCATATTGATCGGCATGACCTCCTTCATGAGCCACTTCGGGAAATCGTCAGTCATAAAAATAAATCAATAAAATCTCTCATTTGTCATAAAGATAAACTAAAATTTTAACGTCAGAAAAACATTTGCCATAAGGTTACAGCTACAGCGTAGCAATACGAGGTTTAACCGATGTCATTCTCATAATGAGACACTGCGCCCGACATATATAAATAACAACGCACGGGTATACGCTGCTGAAGCAATGATGTAAATTGGCAACTAATTTAGCGCACTTAATCAAATTCAAACCGTTTGCAAGGGTCCTAAAATAAATACAAAGTCGGCATGATGCCGGGAATCCCTTATGCCGGTAACACTATAAGTGCTTCTCCACGGAAAGAGTACTGGCGGCCAGTAAAACTTTTAAATACAAAATGTCACTATTTACCGTACTATACTGACCTCGTGTATAGACGCTACTGGCACCGGAAGGACCCAGTAACCCTTTACACGAGGTCAGAAGCATGATAACTATATAGTTGCAGGTAGCATTTGAAAGTTGTACTGGCCACCAATATTTTCCCTATGTACAATCACCTTTAGGTTCAGATGAACCGAGCCGGCGAACGCTTGTGCGCTGAGTGCTGCAGGTGCAGGCGTGGGCGGAAACCTCCCTCTAATCAATATACTGAGCAGTCACTTGAGCACGTGGTCAAGACTGGGTCAATATAGCCAGGAAATAACATCGATCCTTCCTTGCAACGCGTCTTGTCAACATCCAGTGACCATCGATATAATGCAGCGACTGCCTCGCTTCATGTTGTTTCTAGCAAATACACCACAATACATACATTTTGTTTCGCCATGCACTTTGGGACTATACGTTATCGCCCACTTTGGGAACCACGTTATAGGGCCTATAACGTCAGATATATGCAGAAAATGTACACATATCACTTCCACATTGTTTTGTTTCATATTTTCATTGAAGTGAACGCTGCACAAATTCCTACAATATGAAAAACTCACGGCTAAACAAAATGTGATATTTTTTACATCACTTTGCCGTCCAAACGAGATGGAGCTAGATGCAGCTCACATAAAATTAATTGCTAACAAAATTCTTACATATATAAATACAAACGTAATTATTTTCAGATGTGTGCTACGTAAGGAGTTGATTCAGCTCAAAAATTAAGACCCGAAAGATTTCACTTGAAATTTATCTGTGTTACAGTTGAAGGATCTTGCGTTGAGACCGCATCACGAGTTACAGATTACCTTGGAAGCGGATTACTTAAAATGATCTGCTATATAACCCGACAAAGAGAAGAAGGAAGTGAGAACCAAACGTCGATCAGTTGCGATCAAAGTTTCGTTCATAAGATATCTTCTGGGATGAACGGTAAAGTAGAAAGGTTAAAAGAACTTAACAGTAACGTTTTTCTAGTTGAATTCGGGCAGGAGGCGCACCGACAGCTGAGTTAGATGACGCACTTAGAAATGCTAATAAGC